GGTCGCGGGGGGGATGCGGGGGTCGAGGGGGGGGTCGCTCACCCGAGAGGGTCTCGATGGCCCGGATGGCCCAGTTTTGGTCCGGGTAGTCCACGAAGGCGTAGCCGGACTTGAGGAGGACCTGGCCGGGCAGTGGCAGCTGCCGCTCCCCGAAGAGCTGCCGGAGGTCCTGGGCGGTGGCGGCGGGGCTGAGGTTGCCGATGTACAGCTGGTTCATCCTCCGGCGCCTCATCGGGAGCCCCCCGGGCTCCTCCCCGGGAGCCCCCCCGGCTCCTCCCCTCCCGGGAGCGGGACGGACGCGGGCTCGGGAGGGTCCCGCTCTGCGCCACCGGCCCCGGCCCGGCGGAGCCTCCGACAGCGGCGGGCGGAGCCCGGCCCGGCCCGGCCCCGGGGCCGCCCCGCGGGGGGGCAGGTGGAGCCGCCAGACCCCCGCGGGGACGGGATGGGCTGGGGGGGACCGCCCCTGTGCCCCCCGCCCTTCTGCACGGGAACCCACCGCACCCAGCAGCCCCGAGCCCCCGCACCCCGACCCCTCTGACCTGGAACCCAGTGAACGCCGCTCCCCCTAAACCCCCGCACCCTGCCATCATCCCCGGGCCTCTGCCCTGCACCCCCCCCCACCCCCCCACCCCCCCCCCCCCATCCCTCCCTCTGTCCCGAACCCACCGCCCCACACCGCGCCAACCCCTTCGCCCTGGAAACCACCACAGCCCAGCAGCCCCAACCCTTCAGGAGCTCCTTCAGGGAGAGGGAAACCGTTTCACTCGGGAACCAAAGAAAATAAATAAATAAGAAATACATCTTTATATCTATATATTTGTCTACATAATTACTTAATACAATTAAACAAATACACAAACATGATAAATATTATAAATAATAATGTTTTTACAAGGCTTTTTTGGAAAACAAGAATGTGTGAACCCTTCCCAAGCCAGATGCAACCAGCCATCACTGCGTGTGATCCCATTGTCGGAAAGGCTCCAGGAGATGCCGAGCCGGTGCCAGACACTCCAGCCATGAGCTGTGCACGTTCTCTGCCCGCTGGTAGATGGCTCCTGCAGCCTCTGGAGCTCTGCTGAAGGGTGTCCTCAGGTCACCAGGAGCTGGTGTCACCGCCTACCTGCAGGTTAAGTGACATTTTTCTCGCTCCTTTTGTTGAGAATAAAAGCATAATCCTTGTGGAATTGCATCGAGGACGTGATTGGAGGCAGAAATAAGGTGCAGAATAATCCTGGCTGGGTGGGTGACAAGTGGCCTTGTGCTCTTGGAATGGAGTGTTGTGTCCAGGGCCAGGCGTCCCTTCCTGTGCTGTGGGGGGTGAAGGGCAGTAATCTGAATTCCCCAGATTTTAAGGCAATTAAGGACACTTAAACCACCGCTCCTCCTGCTGCTCCATCCCACTGCCAGTCTTCCCTGGCATACGGAGATGGATGGAGTAGGAATAGCGGTGACGGGTGCTCAATGCCATGCCTACAGCAAAAATAGATGTGGTTGGGCTGCGATGATGCAAAGCCAGAAGAATCCTTCTCCTCCGATTTCTCCGGCTGTGCTTTCAGAGCAGCTCCTGCCTGGCTGTCATTTGTCACCGGTGCTCACGGCTCCTCCATCCCCAGCATATTTTTTGGGGTGATTTTAGGCTGAAATCGGTTGATAAAGTCCTTTCCAAAGAACTTGTTCAGGTCACTCCTGCCTCCTCAGGGACGAGCTATCGACAGGAATGGGGCAGGAAGCTGCAGGTTCATTGTGTGAGGTCACTGCTACTGGGAAGCAGTGGGACAGACACGAGGTTTTGGGATTAATTAGTGCCCACGGGATGCAATACTCATTTACTACTCCTCAAATCAGCCTTCTGCTAGAGCTGGATGTAACAGAGGAATCTCCTGCCGTTACCTGCGTGAGCTCATCCCTCCTGCCCCTGATTTTTGGCTTCGCAGAAAGAGCTCAACAAACTTCTTCAGATGCCTTCCCAACCCCATAGAGCTGACACTGTTTCCCAGTTTTGGTGGATCTGTCTTGGTCCAGATGTGATGTTCAAGGGAAGTCTGTGCTTTGGGGAGGAAGACTGCAGAGCACTGGTACAAAACAGCTGGAGAGGTGACAACAGATGGAAAAAACGTCCTAAAAGTGGTTCAGGATCCAGCAGGAAAGGGAAAGCATCTTCCAAGGGCAGCCTTGTAGGCAAGATCATTCCTCCCTGGAAAAAGATGCTGGCATGGAATGAGTCTGGAATGCAGCAGCAAGACTGATAAAATGAGCAAAAGGCCATGAGGGGCTGAAGGAGGGTTTGTTTAGTCTGGAAGAGGACAGGATAACCCACAGTGTGAGAAGAGCTGCCTTGAAAAAACAGGACAAACTACGAAAAAAACCCAGTGTTTGGTCGATTGGACACAGGAAAGAGATGTGTTCCTCAGCTGGGGGTTTTGGGAGGAGGCTGGACAAACATCTGGGACTACCAAATCCGTGTTGGGGCCAGCCCAGGGAGTTCCTGAGTCTCCTCCCAGCTCAGGAGAAACAGTCTGGCCCACAACTCCATTTTATCCCAAACCTTTGATAAGTCTGTCTTGGAGCAGGCAGGTTGGGATCCACGAGGTTTCATCACCCTGTTCTGGCAGACTGGTCTTACTGGGAATTGCACTCGGGTCACTGGTTTGGCTTCTGCTAACAGAGCATTTGTGTTGGGATCTCTCCTTGGATCCCACATACCCAGAGGGTGTTAGGAACAGGACAGAGAAATGACAGCAGGGGGAGGGAGGATCCTGCCTCGAGCCAGCAGGGATGTGGAGGCTGCAGTAATCCAAGAGGGAAAAGCCCAGTGACCTGGCCCAGGAGGAACCCACCTCACCTCTCTGATGTGCAAGTTTTCCCTGAAGCCTTAAGGATATTTTTCACTATTCATCACACAGAGAATCTCAGGAGAGCTTCATCCCACCCCTGCACTGTTTGGATTGGGAATAAGGTGGGAATGCAGCTGCTCATTGCTCCATGGGGGACACCTCTGGCTGCAGAGACTGCATAGATCAGGCAGTGCCAAAACAAAGCCCCGAGTAAACCCTGCCCTAAAAATGAACCCATTTCCTTAAGGAAAGGACTTGGTTTGTTGTCCTTTGTTTTCCTGAGCGTGTGGCAGATGACTCCGTGCCACAATGAGCACAGTGGGATCAGGACATGCTGCCAGAGCAGCTCCCACCTGCCCCTCACCACTCTGAGCAAGCCACCAGGCAGCTCCAGGCTGGGCTGATCCCAAATTTCCCTCATGTAGTGGTGAACTGTCTGAAATGGTTTTTGACTTTTAGAAACTTCCCAGCTGGAGAATGGTGCAGCTGCTATGGAGGTGAGGGAAGAGCATGAAGGACTTGCATGGATGGAGGCAGCCCACCTTGGGATGATGGATTATCCCTCAGGAAGAGCAGAGCTGAGAAAATAATTAACAATTTGGTTGGAAAACACATCCTTGCTTTTCAACGGTTTTGCTCACCCTTTGCTGGGACATGAGTGAAAATCTACTCACTACTCAGTGATTTCAGAATTTTCCAAGCCTGCAACAGTTGGGAATGCCGAGGTGGAGGCACTGGCATGGCTGGGTAATTAAATTCGTGTCTGTGTTAATTACAGCTGCACTGGGGCTGAGCATGACTCATATGTTACCAATGGGAATGGTGGACAGGCACCAGGAGCTCCAAGTTTTGCTGACTCTCCTGAGGTGACGTCAAAGGTATGGATCTGTGGGAACACAGCGTGGAGCACAGGCCAGGTGCCAGAGATGGGCACCAAGGAGGGTCCTGTGGAGCTGTACACTTTCTATCCGAGCAGGAAAATTAAAGGATCAGCTTCTCCCAGCTCCAAAGCAGCTCCATTGGGATAGGAACACCTGCCTTTTGGGGGATCAATCTGCAAAATAAATTGCTTGAACCCCAATGAAGGAGACGCAAGGAAAAATTGGATTTTTAGAAGCACACAGAATTCCATGAGGAGCAGAGAGCTACTGTACTGCTTGCGTAAGGGGTGCCTTAACGTACTGAACCCATGACTGCCTCCATACTGCACAAGTCCCTCAAGGGCCCCTCCTCATGCCCAGGGAAAGCCAGGAGATGCCACAGGGACAGGAGCCTCCCCTGCACAGGGAGAGGCTCAAACTGCCCCAGAGGAAATTCCACCTGCATGTGCAGGGAGAGGACAGCAGCACAAACAGCTCCTGGTTTCCTTTTTCCCCTCCACGTGCTTCCAAGGTTTTTATTTGTCCTCTGCTGACAGGAAAGCAGGTCTGGAAAGGGCACAGCCTGTCATATCCAGCCAGCAGATGCTGCTCCAGCAGAGATTCCTCGCTGCCCTGGTGGGATCCATGCTGGGGGTCAGGGTAGGCTCCCCCTCCCATGGATAATTCCTGCCTCACTGCTGACAGAGCACCAGGCCAGCCAGCTGTGGGGTCCAGCACACATCCCACAGCCACCTGCCAGCCGTGCCACAGGGCAACACTACACCCTGGGAGCATCTCTGTCCAGGCTGTTCCTGGACTGAGAGCCCTAGCAATGATTCAGCAGCAGGAAGTGCTGGACAACAGGCTCTCCTCCCCAGGGCAGCTACAGCAGCTGCTCCCCCAAACCCCAGAACAGCTTTAACATGGGTTATTGGGTGCATTGCAACAAGCTGCTGCTCATGGCCTTTCCTCTGGCACCCTTGGTGGAATTTTCATCTGGATCTGAGCCTTACCAGCAGCCCTGGTCCTCACAATGACATTGAGGGGCTGGAGCACGGCCAAGGAAGGGAACAGAGCTGGGGGAATTCAGCCTGGAGAAAAGGAGGCTCAGGGGGGAACCCTCTGGATCTCCACAACTTCCTGACAGGAAGGGCCAGCTGGGGGTGGTCAGGCGGTGCGCCCAGGGAACAGGGACAGGACAAGGGGAAATGGCCTCAAGCCATGCCAGGGCAGGTTCACATTTGACATCAGGAGGGATTTCTTCATGGAAAGGTGGTCAGACACTGGAAGGAGCAGTTGAGGGAGATGGTGGAGCCCCCATCCCTGCAGGGATTTTAAAACCCTGTGGATGTGGCTCTTGGGGACATTGGTGAGTGGTGGCCTTGGCAGTGCTGGAGAGTGGCTGGAGTCCATCTTAGAGGGCTTTTCCAAACTAAATGATTCCATGATGCACCATGGCCTTGCAATGCTCACACCAAGTGTGGACCTGGCACAGGGATTTGGGACACTCGGCACAGGGGCCATGTGACACATTGCAAAAAATGTGTCACCAGGAGCAGCCAACTCCAAAATGTGTCAGCAGGAGCAGCTCTGACAATTTAGAATTACTACTACCATGGTCCTCCTGTCCACTCTGGAGAGTAAAAAGGAAGTTTTAACAAATACCTGGATAATTTGTAAATCCCTAAGACACCTGGTGCGCTGCTGCTGGCCACTTCCTCTCCAAGCAGCTGAAGCAGGTGGTGCCTGTTCCCTCAGTCTCTTCCTCTGCATGATGGCACACCATTCCTGAAACTTTGCTCCCTACATCCATAGAAATCACCAGTTTTGAGCCTAGAAATTTCTGTTATTTCCACAAAACCCCACATTCTCGCCACAAACCAGTGTGGAAAGCTCCTCCAACACAAGATTAAAAAATAACTGGCTCACAGATCCAAGTGCACAAATTCACTACGTGGTATGACAGATACACGTGAAGTGTTGGCCCAAAAGCTTTAAAATACAAGAGGCGACAGCTGAACACCCAAATGAGGGACTCAGTGCTGATTTCACAAGTGAGAAATGGACTTGAGAAGCACCTCAGGTGCAAGTTCCTTGTGGGACACCAAAAGACTGGTTCTTCCTGGAAGGAGTGGATGGCACTTGCCCTGAGATTACCTCCACGCTTTTGTTTTCTTGGCAAAAATAAGGAGGAAAAGAAAAAAACAAACTTCTTTTTATTTTATTTTCTCACTTTCGGAAAGCATTTTACACAGGTTTGGATCTTGGGAATAACTTGGAATCAGTAGAAAAAACTTACTGAACAGTTTTTGTCTTTACAATAGAAACCTTTCAGGAGTCAAAATGGAGACTAAAAAAATACATGCAAAACATACTCCTTTCAAAACACAACTGGAAACAAAGCACCAAACTACACAAATATGCAGAATGAAACAGCACTGAACACCACAGAAGTTGTCTTCATAAAAGGTGTAAAAGTCACCTAATTCACTAGGCACTGTCACTTGGTTAAACAGAAGAGACAATAAAAAAATATTGTCCACAAACTCGCAATTTCAACTCAAAGGCTGTAGCTAGAAATTCCTCTACGTGTCTGTCATGCTTTAATAGCGACCTGAAAGACAAAAACCCAACAGTCAGACTTCATTGATTGAGAGATTTCTGGCTAAATCCACTGCCTCTCCTCAAACTTCTATCAGATGTCCTAGAGGTAACCAAACTCCCAAACTCCTGTTTTAACAGAGTTTTGGAGGAAGAAACAGGATCTCAGACTCAAAACAAGGGCTGTTATCTCACTTGGTTTTTCCTAAGTATTTACTCTGTCCTCAAGGTTTCTCAATGAAGCATTAAAGGAGCTGTGGCTCAATAAAATATCCACACCAAAGTCAATCTTAGTGGACACAGAAGCTCAAAAGAAGTTCAAGGAATGGGAAGTTTACTTTTGAAACATGAACTGTGACTGGGCTAGGCCCAGGTATGGTAAGGCTGAATGGGACTTGGAGCAACCTGGTCTATGGAAGGTGTCCCTGCCCATGGCAGGGGGTGGAATGGGACAAGTGCTAAGGTCCCTCCCAACCCACAGCATTCCCTGAGTCCATGGCTACTTACGAGGTGAGTAGGACCGGGATCTGGACCGGGATCTGTAGCCCCCTCGGCTGTAGTACGGGGACGGTGACCTCCTCCTGTGACAGGGGTGACACAAACAATCCCTTTGTTAAAACCTGCACAGGTGAGTGGCAGCAGCTTTATGTGGGTAGCTCTAAGCCCATCGTGGTCTCAGGAATGCACTTGGGAAAGCTAAGGAGCATGGGAGACCCGATCAACGTTTCTACTGGGTAACAAAGCCAAGATCTGAATTCTTTTTTGTTACCAGTATTATTTGTGACTAACACAACAAATACAAGCTCTTGCACTCACAATCTGCTTTCATGTGAATTTAGTCTGAAGCCAGGAGCATCCCACACAAGCAGGGTAAGCCAAACCCACCTTCACTTTTAATCTGAATTGCTTGTCCAAGGTGAAGATGTTCTTGACTTACAGTCAGTGCTATAGCCAGACACCCCCAAACCTCTCCAGTCCAGGCACTCCCAACTTTTGTGTTTCCTTGCCTAGTTCCACTAATCCAGTACACACCTGTAAAACTGATCCCTGTCCTGAACAGCTCTCCAGCCTCCTCCGCCGCCGCCACCTCCTCCTCTGTGAGGACAAAAGCAGAACAACTTTTAGGAATTTAAAAATATAAAAAGTTCACTGTACAAAACTCCCCCATCATCAGAGTAAGAAAATGACATGAAGACAACATTAGTTCCTACACTGGGTGATGCTGAATTACTTAATTTAACACTGATTTTTAAACACATACCTACTCAAGGAAAACCCTTTCACTTATTATTTTTGAGTAGCAAGATCAACTCGTGAAAAACATTGATTTCAAGGTGGAGGCAGGGAAAACCCTTCTATCCTGACATTTTAACACTTTAGAGTCACATTTAAACAAGAACTGTGATGTTATTTGTTATGGAGAACAAAAACAACACCTTACAGCATTAATATTGAGTGTCTGGAATGGAACCTCTTCAGATTCAGATGAGCAAAGCTTGGCCAAGAGACTAAATCAAGTTTCAAGTCTTCCTCAGTTGTTTTTGGGGGATTGCTTTTTTAAAGTTTATTCTCTTACTTACAGACAGTTTTTCAGGCAAAATTAAGCCTCCCAAAGCAACAAGGAGAAACTGAAGTCTGAACAGGACAATTCCCATCTGACACTGCATTTCCCTTAGGGCATTATTTTCACAGAGGGCAGGGAATGCAAAGGAATTGTTACCAGTGGAATTTGTAGGGTGGGGTATGCAACGCTCCACTGCATCTTGAACAATTCCAACTTTTCCTTCCTCAGGGAAGCCCTCACAACATAGCAACACTTCTCTCTTCCTCAACCAACCCCTGTCTGTAGGAGGGGAAAGTAGCACCATGACATTTTTCAATTAGCCACACACAAGGCATTTGTGGCTCCATATTTATTCACAGAATCCCAGAACGGTTTGGGCTGGAAGAGACCTTAAACACCATGCAGAGGCACAGCCCTGCCACAGGCAGGGACACCTCCCACTAGAGCAGGTCACTGTCACTGGCTTTCTCCTGACCCAATCCCAGCTTCTGGTAACATCCACAAACCCCTGCCAGAATGAAAAGGCACCACTGAAGCACTGAAGACCTGGGCCCACACCACAACTTTAACACAGCAACACATAGGAATGTTTGGTAGTGCAGACAGAAAAAAATCAACTCTTCTTTTGTGTTCATCTTAACAGTGTCCCAGAAATTTTGAGGATTTTGCTGGAAAATGCTATCATCAAAACCAATCATGATTACACACACATCCAACCTGACAAGGGATGTTAAAAAAGCCTTTTAATGCAGATATCCAATCCACAATTCCTTATTTTTGGCAACATCTGAGGTGTCATAATTATCAGCAGGAGATACTGGGGACCACAGAAATTTCCCACTTTTTATCTACTACACTGTGCTCAAAATATAAGCTGACACTATAATACCAACTCAAATACTAATCTGCTCCATTTCAGTGCTAACAGATGAACCAACTAAAGATTCTAAAATGAAAATGCAAAGAACACACTTTGTTCTTCAAAACTTAGTGCAGATTGAGAAAACATTTTGGACTAAGCTAGGCCACAGGTCAAACACCACCAAGTATTTCTCAATCCAACCAATTTGATTCGTACTGAGCAATCATTTTGGTGGAGATTTCACAGGAAGATTCCAGAACGACAGCGAGTGCAAAAATATTCTGGAATAGATATGTAGGATGAACTGCCTAGTGCTTACACAGGCAGATGAGAAAGAGTTTAGAAAGCAGCAACATATTCCAAATATGCTCACCTGTATGACCTGCTGTAATAGTCACGGTCATCGTAGCCTCTGTCATAGCCTCTGTCATAGTAATCTCGTCGCCGTGAGCTGCCACTGCAGGGAGTGAAGGAAATTGCATTTACTAAGATACAAAGCTCTAACTTTGTCTGCAGTCTCGTAAATTTACCCTCTTTAAACTAGATTGTATTATTAGGTCCCGTCCTTACAATTGGAAGATTGTGAGCACTCCTGTTTTCCCATCAGTGCAGGTGGGAACAGGACTACTTAAATAACTGCTTTTTAAAATGCTTGAACCTTCAGTTGTTTTTCTCAACCTTTTGGCATCACAGGCACTACAGGAATTCCATTATGAGACACGTCTTCATCACCTTTTAACTCTGAAAAAGCTCCTGTTCAATCAACTGACTAAAAAAAAAAATCAGAAACCTGTAGTCTTAACATCACCAGAACCATCAGTAAGCTGAAAGTCTTGGGAAATGAACGGGGCAATGACTTGGGAAAACAACTGACACTGTTGGCAACATGAAGTCAAAAGTGCAGTGTGTGAACACCGCAAACTGCTAGGCCCTAATGCTAACTGATCCACCCAGCTCCTTGACCAGCACTTTTTCATTTACTCTTCAAAACCTGAGCTTGCAAAGGACATGAATATTTGAAGGTACACAGGAAAACTACTTAAAATAATTTAGAAATAGTCAAAATGTCTTCCTGTTGACACAAGCATTACTACTGATGCTCATGTCTAGTGTTTTCGGTGTACAGCACAGCAGCCACGAACAAGGAAACACAACATTAATGTGTAAGCCCAAGAAACCAGGAAAACCACTCAGGATCAGGTCTCTCAGAGGAGAAACAGGAGATTTTACAAAATAATGAATCCCATCCTTTACTGGCTGGGGGGGGGAAAACCCAACCAAACCATGGATAAAACTTACTAAGTGGGTCTTCCCATATAGATTCCAGGGGTAGGTGTGTGAGGTCTCTTTGTTATGGAAAAGTCTACTCGGATCCTTCTTCCATCCAGCTCCATACCATTGGCACGTTCCTTTGCCTAAGGAGTGACAGAAGAGCATCAGGTCTACGTACAAACTTCAGCAACAACAAGAATTTCTAACCACTGCTTCAAGTGTTAAAATGTTCTAAAACACAGCTCAGTTTGGAGGCAGGTCTGAGTGTCACATCTTGCAGTGAATGTACCGTGTAAGATACTCTAGGCCAGCTGGACTTAAGTGCCAGTAACCACTGAAAATGTGATTTCTGTGGCATTAAAATCCTGAAAGAACATCACTGAGCAATTGTTTCAGTGCCTCTGACATGATTAAGAGCAACCTTTGAACATGCAGATGTAGGGAAATGTAACTACTTCATCACACAACATGAAACACAGGTTAAAATAACATCACTAAGGTATTCAAATACATCCTTCAAACTACCATGACCTTGAATATAGTATCAGAGTCACAAATAAAAAGTAAAAAAACAGAAAAAATTATGCTTTGATTTTTTTTTTGTCTGCTACGTAGCAGGACCTACACATCAAGCTCCAACCTAAAATGGAAGACTTCAAGCCAGATGTGGACAAGACTGGACATTTTCTGGAGTGGAGTTTATGCAGAATGTAAGCCTTGTTCCAGCCCATAAAGGGCAGCTTTACAAGGATTGCTATGAGTGTAGCGTTCTCCGCTTGGGTGACCACAGAAATCCCGATCCATTCTGCAGCACTAGTAAGCCCAAATTCCATGATTACAAGATTCCAAGTATTTTTCAGGCCATTAGTTTCCCTTGGCTATACCCTGTGACAGCACACACACCCCAGGAGCTCGGAGCCCAGCACTGTGTACCCCAACCTACTTCCTTGGCATCCTCGACGTTCTCGAAGTAGACAAACGCGAACCCTCGGGAGCGCCGCGACTGCTGATCGTACACGATGGAAACGTCGGCGATGGGCCCATACTTGGAGAAAACCTCGCGCAGGTCTCGTTCTGTAGTGTACAGACTCAGCCCAAACACTCCCAGGCAACAGTTTGGATCAGGATTTGCCTAAAGGAAAGGACACAGATATTAAAATCAAATTTGGTTTATTTGCAGCGCAACGTATTTCTCAAGTTGTGACTGTCAGTTTCTCAAGTTACGACTGTCAGGTGAGGCTGAGATTTGGGTCACCTGCTAACAGAGAGTAATAAATTACACCTACAGGAGCACAAGCCTTTCACAAAACCCCTCTGTGCTTCTCAGAGCACAGACTGACTGCAGGATGCATGCAGGACCATGACTCATCCCTCACACACGTACCCTGTTCCCAATGTGACGTCTGCGAGTAGACATGGGGGAATGGCTGTGACTGTGCCGTCGCCGGTAGTCCCGACTGTACGACCTGCTTCTGGATCTCCTGTGGGAGCGGGAACGGGAGCGGGACCTGGTGTAGTGTCTGCGGGAACTCCTCCTTGATCTAGACCTGAGGGGAAGAAGAGAAAGGTACAGTGCTGGGCTTGTTGGGCTGTTCAACATTTCAAAAATCCATCAGACAGTCACAAAAAACTCAAATAATTGTTTTGCAAAATCCTGCAGTAGCACATACCTCAGCTATAATCCATTTACTCACTACTCTCAAGGACTGTGTGCTAAATCTTTACTATCAGATTACTGCAGATAGTCTCAGGGCATTCCTGCTGCAGTCCAGGAACTTGCACTTGATCACAGTCAGCTCTTCCTTCAACAAAGCTATCTGGGTGTGACACACTAGTGCTTAGAATATTCAGTGTTTAGGTAAAAACAAGTGGGGTGGCTTTCTTTTCATATGTATCAGACAAAGGGAACAGTAAATATGCCTTAACACAAAGCATGCACCACTAAGGGGGGCACTCTCTTTGTGCTGCCTTGGGTGACACTGAAAAGCGAATGCCCCCAAAACAGAGCTGAACACAACCTGAAGAAATCAATCCTGAGCTGGCTCATTTACCTGCTGGTATTTCAGCAGTTATTTGGCACTGTTTGTCCATGAATATTTACATGTTCACACTCTTAAGTGCATTTATGCAAAGGTGCAACTGCTCACTAATTCTTTTTCCCCAAAAATATTTTCTTACATCACAAGCTCTGTGGACATGAGGTTCTGAACCTCTTCAATTCCTTCTCCCAAAGCCTCACCCCTCCCAACAGCCAATCCTAGAGAAGCTGGGCACTCACATGGGGCTACTACACCTGATCTTGGTGTGCTGATGGCTGCACTGAATAACCTGCACTCCACACCACTCCAAAGAAAAACCCCTCAAGGCTAAGAAGTGCAATAAACAGTGTAACAGCCAATGGATCCGAGTCACAAATTCCTGATTTTCAGGCTCTTGTGTCTTGTATGTCCCCTTCCTCTAATTCCACAGCAGCACCACCCCACTGGTGTGAGGGAAGCTCTGAACCCGAACTGCTTTTACTCCTGAGCATTTAACAGCTTCTTCCAGGATTTCTCACCGAGTGTCACAAGGCAGTCAAACTGTCCAAACTATCTCCTCAAAAAACACCTCCAACCTCATCAGGAGACAGCCAGGGAGGCTCAACTTAAACTGCATATTGATGTCCAGGAGAAATTAATTCAGCACGTCCATTACAGCACTTCTCACTACGTATTTATAAACAAAACATTATTTTTGGCAACAAAATTTTTAAAAAAAGAAAAAGAGAGAACTTCCCTGAAGCTGGGGAAACAGTAAAAAAAGAGAGAAATTATAATATCAATAACAAAAAAAAAATAAAAAGAAGCTCCACACATGCACACAGCCACATTTCAGCCACTGATACAAGAAAAAAAAATTAAGGAAACACAGAACTGATATTTCAGGTACCAGAATGGTATCAGCCTAAGATAGGAGCTACAAACATCAATAAAAGTAGACTTTAAAATCAAGTACATCCACACCCCAACTGATAAAAACACCAGGACACAGGTTGGTTCCCAAATCAAAGTTTAATTTATAAAGCTGGTAACTCGAAAATACATTTGCAACAGAAACTACCAAGAAATATAGAAGTTATCACAGGGTTATTTCACTGGGGAAAGCCAGAGTTCAACGATCTGCCCATGACCACATCTCAGTGTGTGACAGCACTAAACAGAGATTAAAGTATGTTGTTTCTAAATATGTGCCTCGACACAATTCTGTCCAAATCTACTAATCAGCACTAAGTCTGGCACATAATTCCATTATTTCCAGCCACAGGCATCTTCAAGACAGCTGTTAAATGCTCAGGAAGCCATGGTAGTTATAAACTTCTAATTTTTGGTCAATAAAAGCCAGTTGCCAGAGTATTACTTAAACACTGTTTATTGCAAAAGTAAGATTTGCCAGGTCTCTCATAAATTCCGTATCTTGTATTTCCTTCCTCAGAACTGTGTACCACCTCTGACTGCACCTTTACTCAGTGGTTATTCTGCAAGTGGGAAATGTTTTAAGGAGTATGGAATCCCTGGAGTCCCATGGATGAAAGGGCAGAAGAATATCCTGGGCAAGTGTCCTGACTCTGCTGTTGTCATACTAAAAGGTTCCCCAAAGGTGCTTTGCAGCTTCCCTCCCCTGAGATTTTCAAACCCCAAGTGGATAAAGCCCTGAGAGGAGGGTCTGAGCCCAGAGCCCTGAGCAGGATCTGGGACTGGGCCCTTCCTGAGCTGCCCCACCATCTCTCACTGCTGGCACTCCCCAGGTCACTCCCATTCCACACTCACTAATGGTATTAACTCTAACAAGTATCTATTCCTTTTATTTGACACATTTCTTCTTACATTACAGGGACTGCCGGGTGCATGATATGACACTTCTGACTGTGCCTGAATTAAGCAAAAAACCTCATTCTTCTGCTGTCAAAGCTTCCCAATTACATTCCTTTTCACAAAAGCCTCTCTGTTTGTTCTTGCAAGATTTAGCACACTGTTTGATTATGTTTTCAACCCTGGTTGATTGCTGACAGCACAGTATCTTCCTTCAGCCTGCCTCCCAGGCTTTGGCAATTCACTACTTGTTCACACTAAAAGTGTGTTGTGAACAGCTCACCTGAAAACCACACTGCTGAAACCTCACTTTTTTTAGCCTGAATGCCTACAAATGAGTAAAGAAACGATCAACACATTAATTTCTGTAATCAGCAGTCAACTATCTACTCTTTTTAGAGGGATTCTGAGCCTGCACACAGGGCAGGTGCCTGTTTTGGCAGGTGAGTATCAGGAGAGGTAATACAGTGCAACAGGCACGTGGGTGTTTGTGCTGCCACATGACAAATGCAATAAGCAAGTTCTCCACAACTTTTCTGGAGAGCTTGCAGTGCTGTCTAATATTCAAAACTTCCTACCCTGTTAATTTTCAAGTTAAAGGTATTTAAAATGTCTGTGAAAATTCAGTGTGAATTTCTGTGACTGTGAAATTCACATTTACCTCTACTGCTTCTTTCCACTACTCCAGGAGCATCACTGCTTCCAGTGAAGAAACACAATACATGAATGTGCCTTAAAATGGGAAATCAGCTGATGCACCAAACTCTGTTAATGCACAAAAAACCTAAGATCCAGAGTTCCTAGTACTCTACTCTCAGACACGAGTCAGTATTCCAAGAGATAAAAGGCAGGCACTTCCAAAGTGTATCAGCAAGGATACAAACGTACATAACTGATTTAACTGTTGGAAGAAGCAGCAAAAATATCTGAATGGATATAATTAGGCTTTCCCAATCCTGAAACCACACACGCCCCTTTGTATTCCAAGTCCACAGAAGATCCACTAACTCGGGAAACAGAGCTGGCTAAGCTGGGCCACCTCTGACAATCATCTGACTCGTGAGGAGGAGGAAGAGGTAAAAGAAGCAAACTCACCTGGATTCAGACCTGGATCTAGATTTTGACCTGGAGCGCCTGGAATCCTCCTTAGAGCGAGATCTTGCAGGGGTGTGTCTCCCCGACTTGCCAGACCCATGAGCACTTCCGCTTCTGGAAGCAGAACGGGATTCCTGCACGCAGATATTGAAAGCCTAATTTGTACACAATTCCTCGTTCACCTACGGGCTGTAAACAAGCTCCAGTGAAATAAATGGTAAATATTCATAGCTATGCGTCCGGGCAGTTGGCATTAGCACTGCCTAGATTTTTAAGGAGGTTTTTTTCCCTGGTAGACACTTCTTTACCCTGCATGTACTTTTGCTATTAAACAGATAATGCATGCATGTTTAGCAAAATATACAGGGACACATAAACAGACTAGTAATTACTTAGCGTAGTGCTTTCAGATTCCAGATTACTTCTTATCTTAACTTCATTTTTATTCCTTTTCTTCATTCTTCCGTTTCAAATTCTGACTTCTTTCATCTTCCCCACTTCACACAAATTGCTCAATATTCTACAAGTGGGACTTCTGGTCTGATAATTAGCATGCATTCACTTTCTTTTTTTTCAAATTTCAGCTTCACTTATTCCTGAGCTTCAAATAATTCTCATTTATAAAACTTGTCAAATGGCGACTTCCGCATTTTCCTTCTTCAACATTAACCTTAATAGAAAAAGAACAGGATGAAGAATATTTAAGAACTCCAGGATAAAATCTAGTGCCAAAACTGAAACTAGAAAAAAAAAAGTGTTGTGGACTTTTACTATAAATGCAGTTCAAGAATTGAATCTACCAAACCCTACAATTTTATCAACAGGTTCAGTTAACTCATGTTTAACTTAGCCCTAAGTAGCTGAATTTACTATTTATGCCTACATTTAACAGCAACTACAACTGGATCAAGTGAGTACCTGCTAAGGAATTGTAGCATCAGGAAACTCAAAATAATTTGCACTGTCAGCCACGCACTGAGACAAAATCACCAAGGAGTGACTCCAGTGAGGTCCTGCTGCGGCCACTGACGGATGTGCTTTTGAATGCAGAAAGCACAGCACGCTTGGTCCTTCCATGAACTCCAATTATCTGAATTTTGAGCCCCTTCTGCAGTTTGGCAGCCCTGGTGTGAAGGTTTAGGAGCACACCCCCCCAGCTGCCTGCACAAGTGGGATTACATGTGCAGGCTTTGTGTTTCCACAGAAATCTGCATTCCCCACTGACCAGAACGGCACTGGAGCCCCACACTCCAAACTGCTCTGGACCAACACCCCACCTGCTCTTATTTACTCTCTCATTTACTGGCAATCTCCTCTAGCAGTGACATGACCTAATTAGCACTTTCAACTTAGGTATTTTTATTTTTAAATCAGTATTATGCTTGGCTTTAATCATGTGCCTTAAACACCTGAACACACGAGTAGAAAGTATTCTTCATTTCAAGATATAAGAGAAAACTTAAAATTCAGCAGAATTATACTTCTTTCTAAATTTAGTGTAAATTCTGATGAAGAAAGCTCACCAATGACACTGGGTACCAGATTTTTTTCCAAAATCCCCTGTTTTATCTTTCTAACATCTCTTAAACCTGAACACTAACTTCATGGGAATCCTGTACTAAGCATTCAGAAATTCATTTGCTAACCCAAAATTCACACGCTTCAATCACTTCCATACATCTCCAACCAAATGTTACCATTTTACAATTCCCTACCACACAGGGGAAAGAAACATGATGCACAGGACAAAGCAAGTTTGCAATTAATCCCAAGAGCAACAGAAATAACACAAAGCTGGCCAAGGCTGTATTCTTCATACAGATGAATAAGGTTTTGTTCTAACTACATCTTCCCAGGTACTAACACTGAAAAGGGTAAGGGGGAGTATTTAGGAACAGTTTAGGTTACAATTAACTAATTTAACCTAAATCCATTATTACCTTCCAAAGAAAACACTCCACAGAGATGAGTTCTGAGTTAATATATTAATTTTGCCATAAGAAGCCATAGCTCTTTAACAAAGTTAGAGAAAGCAAGATTGAAGAAAGACTAAAACCCAAAGCAAGGCTGCTTTTCACCTGAGGAAAAATGCTTCAATTCACAAAAGATAATCTGGGCTAAACAGAAGGAGCTGCGTCCAAGTACAGGTGGAGACCAGAAAAAAAAAGGAGAAATGCAGGATCGGAGGGAAGCAGTTGGGAGGATTTTGCCCACAAACACACCCCAAACCCTTTTTCAGAACTTTTAAAAAGTCAAAAAGCTTTGAAGAAATGAGTAGAGAACAGGCAAGTCTTCATATATTTGGTACATTTTTCAGGCAATCTCTGATGTATTATGTTATGGTTGATATGGAATCTGGACACTGAGGAGCAGAGCAGGAAGAAAATGTCTAAAAGACAACTACCTACCAAAATCAAAACAATTTAACAGCTGGTCTATTTTCATTCAACTGCTTTGCATTTCACATTTCCCAGTCTTTAAAAATCCGCTTTTCTCCCCCAGTCATCCTTCAATCCACCAATTTTACAGGATTATTGCACTTCTTTATGGCAGCCTTAAAGGAATTCAATGCACCTCACCTGCTCTGGATATCACCAGCACTGGTAACAACCTCCAAAATTACCACGTTGCCCCTTTTCCACCCTAAGCCCCAGGAAATCCTCCCTATCCAAAATTCCAAGTACCAGGGGCCTGCAGCACTGCAAATTTATTTTACACCCTTGAGGGTTCACATCAGTCACTCCCACAGCTTGTTTCTCCCATCTTTTTTTTTGTTGTTCCTTGTATTTTCTTTTCCTACTCTTTGCTCTTTCACTCTGTGAATTTTAAATTACTGAAAAACATCCAGGAGTGGTCCTGGCATGGCACTGGAAAAGAGGGAAGAAACAACCCTTCTTTACCCTGTCTATATTCCAGCACTGCTGGTCAGCAGATCCACATTGGTATTCACTAAATAACAACCATTTCTTCCCCCCAACCTGAAGTTTGTCAAGTGTGAATTTAACCTCCCTCCCGACATCCCTTGGTCTTTATCAACAGTTCCTCCCCTTCATCAGGCACTTCTGGAATGCATGTGGAAGCCCTGAAGTCCAGGCTTGTGGATTCCAAATGGTTCATTCCAGACCTCGAGCACATTTCAAACCAAGTGCTGGGATGATTTTACCAGCTCTAAGCACAGTCACAAAGAGCCTTCCAGCCAGGTACTCTGAGCAGGGAATGTCCCAAAGCAGGATTGTTTGGGGGGCAGTAGGCAGGAAAGGTTTCCATGGACAGAAGCAGCTGGAAAGTAGATGATGGCCAGAGTTATTTGGATTTCTGAGATCCAGGTTTTCCTCACAGGAATGGGAGTTACAGATTTCAGTCAGTAATGTCAGATACAGAGAAATAAAACTCTTAAGGTTTTATGATCATTCTTTCTATGAAGTTATGAATTTCCACTTGTTTTCCTAAGGAAAGGTGCAGCCTCACATGACACTATCAGATCTGCAGCCTCTTTATTCCAGATGTCACTGTGCTGACTCCACATTCCCCAACCTCTCCCTTCAGGAAGCTGCCTCCCTTCCCCTGAGGGACACGAGATCACTGCTGGGGGAGCTGGGCATTCACTGGAGGGAGAGCAGACCCATCCCTTCCCACAGGTTTCCAAACTCCACAGAAAGAACACAGCATGTTCTGAAAAATCAGGCCACAGCTCCCTCCCACCGCCTCTGCGGGCTCCTCCAGTGCCCAAGCTGGAAGGAAATTAATCCACCAGCAAAACCCAAATTATCTTCTGACAGGTCTGGGCACTGAACGAGCTCCCCAAGAGGTCCCATCAAGTGCCAGCTGGTGAGGGAGGAACACAGGGCATGGTCCATCTCTTTGGTGGCACTGAGTGATCAGCTCATCTCAAATTGCTTCCTCAGACCTCCTTCTCACACAATTTAGTAATAAAAAAAAAAAACCCACTCTTTTTTGAAAATAAATGTATTAAATACCTTGTCAGTGACCTGTAAACTGGGCTTTTACACATAAAAAACCCCAAACAAACAAAACCCCCCACCCTGATTTGCATGTTGAACAGCTTCTGACCACATACCACGCCATCACTATCATAATTAACTAATTCACAGGGTAGGAGTCATTAATTTGGCCTTTAACTCGTCTTTTTCCAACCCCTCCAAGCCTGAATCCCACGTGCTTCAGTGAGAACAATTTCAGTGAAAACAAAATTAAGTTGGAAAACCATGGTATTGCAGCATAACAGCATCTCAAGTATATTCAAGTATTTAACCATTTACAGTTTCTTCAGTTCATTGCAGCATAACAACAGCATCTCAAGTATATTCCAGTATTTAACCATTTACAGTTTCTTCAGTTCATCCCCCTATGGGACATAAGCTGTAAAAGAGAATTCAAGTGGGGATTTTTTTTCTTCTTATCTTTCCTCCCCCTTTTAGAAAACGCCATAATCCAGAGTAAATTCGTGCTGTTGCTTAAACAAGTCCCATTCCTGGCGAAAGCACCTGGAATTTCTTCATCCCAAAAGCTGCCACGAGGGCTCAGTCAAGTCAGGCCTGCAACCCAATGCAGCTGGAAACGGAGTAAAACAAGATCCAGCTGACTGCATTCCCAGATCTGACTGGCTGAAGGAACACCACTACGGGAGAGCAGGAGCTCAATTCCTGCTGGCAGCCTGCACTTGGGACAGCGTAAAGACAGTTGCAATCATATTCCAGATTATTTATCCAAACACTAACTCAAGTCTGCAGAGACTCCAGCTTGGAAAAGCACAAAAGTCATTGACTCAGTAAAACACAAGCCTTAAATAAGCAAAAAAATAACACTGGCAAGAGCAGAAGGAAAAGCAATCCCTGCTCCAGTGTGGAATAGCAGGTGTGTAGCTCTATGGTTTCACCTTTACAAACACATCCATTTCAAACAACTTACCTATTTAAAGGTCACAAAAGTTCAGACATAATTCATTCTAGACACTGGCAAAGACTGCCTAAAAATGCTTTAATACATTTTTTATATTAAAAATACAATAAAACACCAGACAACCATTTCTGCCCCAGTACTCTGCGTGACTGTTTCACACAAAAAGACTTTGCTATAGAAGCTTTATCACTTCCACTCTTTCTGACTGAAAATATAATGCAGATTTATCCTGGCAAACTTTATTAAGACTACACTGGCTTCCAGTCTGACCTTCACAACAACTAAAGCATCTTTGTATAAAAACTAACACAATTCACCCTGAGTAAAAAACACCCCCTCACTAAAAAATCTTCAGAGTGAATGAAGATACCAATGAAAACACTGGTGGTGCTGGCACGACCCTATTCCTTAATCCCTGTCTTTCACCATTCATTCCCATTTTTAGCCCCCTAAAGACCAATCTTTTCTAATCTTACCTACACCTTGAAGTAGAAACACTCACATATGACACCTTCTTATAGTGAATTAATAAGACAAAACCATACTCTAAGAAAGATATTGCTCAGAATTACTACATTTTCTAATGTTTCTTGCCCCCTCCAGTTTAAAACTTAGGAACTTATCACCTCCACAACCCCCTCTGCTGCTGCAGCAAAATACATGAATTATGCTAAAAAAATCCCCAAAACACAGTAGTGACCCTAAATACAGGCATCAAAGGCAAACAAGGCTGATCCAGTAAATAAAAAGCAATTATAGATGGGCATCACAAACGCGAAGCTTAGCAAGTCATCTCTTTCGACATTAATAAAAACTCTTTTGGACAGTGAGATCTTTCCGAAGCTAGGAGCCCTGGGAGCTATCCGCTGCAGCTTTCACAAAGCCAAGGGGCTGCCTCCATTATCAAGTCTAAATTAAAGGAGAGCCCGAGACACCTGGACGCCAGGCCGGAGGAGCAGTTATCGTCACAGGGGAGAGGGAGCGAAAAGCGGTCTAAATTAGAGAGCAAATCAAGAGTGGATTGCAAGGCGGCTGTGGAGAGAGGCTAACAACAGGAGTGCCCTTCCGCAGGGTGGGATGGAGGGCTCGGGGCCCCTGAGGGCTCGGGGCCGCCATTTTGTCCCTCCCGGGCGCGCGGTCCCGGCCCAAGATGGCGCCGGGCGCCTCATGCGGGGAGCGGCCCCTCCGCCATCGACCCCGCCGCGCCGCCTCACCCGCCTCTCCGCTCCCGCGGAGGCTCCGCCACCCGCAAAAGGGGACATGGGGGGACACGGGGGGACCGGCGCCACCCGAAGGCGGTGGAGGGGTGTGTGGGGAAGGGAAGGGGAGGCCCGGCCGCGCAGCGTGCTGGGGCTCCGTGTATTACCCGCTCGCCGTAGTTTTGCTCCCCGCTGTCGCTCATCGTCCCGTCCCACTGCTCCCGCCGCCGCCGCCCGAACCGGACACGACCGTCCTCGGCGACAGCGCCGTCCGCGCGGGAAGTGACGAGACCGCGAGGCCGCGCGCGCGCGCTCGGCAGGACACGCCCCCAGGGGGACATCCCTGAGCCGGAGGCCGCGCCCGCGCTCCAGAGCCACGCCCCACACGTCACCGCGCCCCAAGGGAAGGCCACGCCTCCAACCTTAGACCACGCCTTAAGGAAGAGCCCACGCCCATTGGGCGTGACCACGCCCCCTCTGTGACCACGCCCCTTGGCCCGACCCACGCCCCTCAGCCCTCATTGCTCCGGGTGCGATGGCCACGCCTCTCGAGTTGAGGCCACGCCCCTGACGTCAGCCGTGAGGCGACGGCCACGACCCCGCCCTCATGAAGCTCCGCCCCTCCGCCCCAGGTGAGGCCCCGCCCTCAGGTGGGGCCCCGCCCCCTTCCCCAGGTGAGGCCGCGGCCCTCGCCCAGGCCACGGAAACAGTTTAAAAATGTGATTGCGAGGGACTTTTTTCGAGTGTTGAAGCATTAGTTCAGGGCACGTGGGCAGGCAAGAGCGGGCTATTTCTCAGGCACCCGCTCGAGGGCAGCAGAGTGTCGCTGGAATGGCGGGCTTTCCTTCGTCCTTGGCAGTTTCTCCACAAAACGTGCAGCCAGGAGCGTCAGGAACACCTCCATTGCATCTGTTTTATGTCACAGGCAGCCCCAAAGGGCCAGGACCGTGCATGGATCAGCAAAGGACACCCACACAGAGAGGACCACCTGGACTTAAAACACACAGCTGTGGTTTAACCAAAATACCGACTTCTTCAGTGCTTTTCAAACCACAACACCGCACAAGGCTTGGAGCTGGGAGACAGGAGGAGACATGGCACCTGCTCAGCTCATCCCAGGGAGTTGCAGAATTGACTGGTTTGAAAGAGAGCTTAAAGCTCATCCATTTCCACCCCCTGCCATGGCAGGGACACCTTCCACTGTCCCAGGGGGCTCCAAGCCCTGTCCAACCTGGCCTTGGACACTTCCAGGGATTCAGGGGCAGCCACAGCTGCTCTGGGCAGCCTGTGCCAGGGCCGCAGCACCCTCACAGGGAACGTTTTTTCCCTAATATCTAATCTAAACCAACTCTCTTTCAAGTAGAAAGTGCACCTGTTATCCCACGAGCTGCTGCTGCAGGACATAATCCTGCTCCAGAAATGCTTCCGTAACCATCCCAGCAGTATTTTTTTTCACTGAAATGCATTTCCCGTGCAGTGAGGGTGGGGTAATGCCCTGCCTGCCCCATTGTGCTGTTAAAAAGCAGCGAGGCAGACACCTGAACAGGTCAGTACCTCTTCTGAGGGGGGTTTTGGACCTCTTCCAAGTGAGATTTTTGGCCGCCAGTGTTATTCATGGTGCCATTCCCCACACGGATTGAAGAAGTAGCAGCTGAGAATGGCGGGAGAGCAGGCTGGAGGCAAAGTGCAAAGGGAAGAGAGCAAATCGCTGATGGCTTTGCCCTGCATTCCCAGGTGATGACCACAGAGACACCCAGGGGGAACCCCAGCTGCATTTCCATCACCTCTGACACTCATGAGAAGAGACAAGCCAGAGGTTGCTTGGCTGCCTTCCCTCCCCCTGCCAGCCCCAGAACACAAAGGTGAATTTATCAGATAAAGAGGAAGGTGGACAGTATTTTCACAGCTTTTGCTGATTTTAAAATACCACAGGGGGTTTTTATGCCAGTGGTTTCATCTCAGTGCTTTGCTTGTTACTGACACACTGATCCTGAGCTGGAAGGGATCCACAAGGATCATCCAGTCCAACCCCTGGCCCTGCACAGGCACTCCAACAATCCCACCCTGTGCATCCCTGAGAGCCTTATCCAAATGCTGCTGGAGCTCTGGCAGCCTTGGGGCTGTGCCCATTCCCTGGGGAGCCTGGGCAGTGCCCAGCACCCAGCACCCTCTGGAGGAAGAACCTTTTCCTGCTATCCAGTCTAACCCTCACCCGACACAGCTCCAGCCATTCCCTGGGTCCTGTGTGTGGTCACAGAGCAGCCCCTTGGGAGGAGCTGCAGCCCCTGAAGAGCTCTGCCCTCAGCCCCTCATTCTCCAGGCTGAACAGACCAAGTGACCTCAGCTCCTCCTGCCTTTCTTGCAGGAAGTTTAATGGACATTTGTTTTCCAGTCCTTGGTCTGTATTTACAAATCTAGGCAGTGCTCGAACCTCAGAGACTGCAAACCCCAGAACTGCCTACAACCCTCACTGCAGGGCAAGGCATTGCCCACCTCTCCTCAAGTTCTTCCCCTTTACCAGTGGGACAAGAGGACACCAGCAGGGATAAATCATCTGGGATTTCCTAGGAATGAGGGCCTCTTCCCTATCCCATAGTGGCAGACACTCAATACTCCCAAAAATACTCTGAGAAGGAGAAGAGGGCATGGAAGAAAAGAAACAGCTGATGTGAGCATGCTTTGATCCTTTCCCTCACATTTAAATGTGAGTAACCAGGAGTCAGGGAAGCCTCCCTACCTTTGGGGAACACCTGAGCCTGCTGTGCCTGGCCTCTGCAGCAGTGACACAGAGACGTGTGAGATGATCCCAGGGAGATTGTCTCCCTGCTCCCAGCAGCACCCAGAGAGGCAGCCTTTTGTGCAGGGAGTGCAGCTGGGTTGGAGAGGTATTTTTCTGTTTGCTTAGGCCACTTCCAGCTTGTATTGCAACGTCAGTCTGGATTTGGGGGCCTCCTGGCCATGTCTCCACAGACATATTCCTGCCAGAGTTTATGAAACACCTTTTGCAGTTAAATTAACAGTCTCACCTGTGCCTTGGATGCTGTTTCCTACAGCATTCTCCCTGAGAAAATGGCTGGTCATGGCTTCAATGTGTGCACTGTTTGCTGGGCAAAAACCTGGCTGTTGGCTGGGCAGAGGGAATGGTGGGAATGGAGTTACACCAACTTGGGCTGGGCACCACTGGGGCACCCCAGGGCTCAGTGTTGGTCCCAGCACTGTTTAATATCTTTATCCATGATCTGGACAAGGGGATTGGCCACCCTCAGTATGTTCATAGGTGACACCAAGTTGGGTGGGAGTGTGGAGGGCAGGAAGGCTCTCCAGAGGGATCTGGACAGGCTGGATCTGTGGGCTGAGGACAACGGGGTGAGGGTCAACAAGGCCAAGTTCCAGGTCCTGCCCTTGGGACACACCAACCCTATGCAGCTCCAAGCTGGGGACAGAGTGGCTGGAAAGCTGGGACAGGCCCTGGGGGTGCTGGTGACAGCGGCTGGACACGAGCCCAGGTGTGCCCAGGTGGGCAGGAGGCCAATGGCCCCTGGGCTGTCCCAGCCATGGTGGGTCCAGCAGCCCAGGGCAGTGACTGCCCCTCTGTGCTGGGACCTGTGAGGCACCTCCAGCCCTGGGGACAGCTCCGGGCCCAGCGATTCAGGAAGGACATGGAGGGGCTGGAGGTGACCAGGGAAGGGAACAGAGCTGGGGAAGGGAATGGGGCACCAGGAGGGGCTGAGGGAGCTGGAAAGGGGCTCAGCCTGGAGAAAAGGAGGCTCAGGGGGAACCTTGTGGCTCTGCACAACTCCCTGACAGGAGGGGACAGCTGGGGGTGGTCAGGCTCTGCTCCAGGGAACAGGGACAGGATGAGAGGGAACAGCATAGTGGCTACATCTGAAATGCTGAAATAAGGAGCCAGTTCCACTGCGCCCAGTGCTCTGTAGAGACAGTTGTTATCAGTTCCCGAGAAGAAACAGCATAGTGGCTACAGCTGAAATGCTAGAATAAGGACCAAGTTCCACTGTACCCAGTGCTCTGTAGAGACAGTTGTTATCAGTTCCTTTTGCCAACAACATGCATCCTGTAAATGCATTTACATAGGAATTGGGTACCTGCTGATTTGCAAATCAAAGTAAAATATGTTTCTTTATGCAGAGTGTGTCACGCTGCGAGATGCACAGGAAGGAGCCTGAAGGGATCAGGATGATATGTCCCTCCCTTATAAAGAGACCAAAAAACATGGGAAAAGGGCAGAGTATTAGATTCAGGGTGGGCCAGGAGGCTCCCTCTTGCCTTCTTTCTGAGGATTTAGTGAAGGGAGCCCAAACAGACTGGGAGATGTAGGGAATTTAAAAAGGATCTGGAGAAGGACACAAAGAGACACAGGGAGCTGAACCCGCACTTTTCTCCACCCAGATCTACCAAGGGCAATGCTGCTTTGCAGCCAAGTTGTTTCACCTCTTAATCCTGTTCCTTCCTCACCTCCCCCGTTAGGAGGTCAGTGTCAGGCAAGAACAACGATTAAGTGACGATTAAGAACATGTAAGTGAAGATTAAAGATAAGGAAAAAAGAGTGAGTGAAAAGTCATGAGTAGAAAGCATTTGTGGCTCAGAGCTGCAGTAACAGCTCCCAGAACAGCAATTTCCCCCTATCCAGTTATGTGTAATCCCCAAAATTGATCCCAAGTGGAGAAGACTGCCTCGTGCCTGCCCTGTTGAGGTCTCTGGGCTGCTCTGACTACATCCAAATCAACTCCTGGTGGAAACTTTCCAGCTGTTCCTCGGCTGAGCAGATGCTGAAGTACATCCATAGGTCCTGCTAATCCATGCTGATCGAGATTGATATTAATTTTTTCAGGGTTTTTTTTCAACAGATAACCAAAAAAAAAAAAAAAAACAAAAAAAAAACACCACAAAAAAACAAAACAAAAACAAACAACATAAAAACAAAGGTGGGTATTACTTAAATTCCTGATTCCAAGTCCACCTTGGAAGTTTCTCAAATCCACCTGCACAGTTTCTTTTCAAGATCAATGGAATGAGTCACCTGCTATATTTGCCATGTTTACCACGTAAAAGGCAAACAGGGATGCTCAGCTGGGTTGTGGCATTTGCCTACTGAATTGCAGGCTGAAAAAGCCCCACTTGTGGAAGTTATGGGAAGGAGTTTGTTTGTTCCAGCAGCACACGTGTGCAGCTGCAGAGCCAGCCTGGCAGCTCCTGCTCCTCTCCACCTCTCTTCCCCCACACCACCCACACAGCACATGGACAGGCTTCCAGAGCAACAGGAACCACAGGAGGGAGTGAGCCAGCTCGTGA